TCTTAATCAGTGTGAAATATGTTGGAAGTGACTTACAAATAGGACCAGAGGAGTAATATGATTTCCTAATGAAAAGATATATGTGTTGTGTATATGAGAAATAAATTATTCCACAAATATTTTGAACAAAATCGTGTACATAAATTTTGTGTGTGCGCGCGCGCATGTATGTGTTAAGATGTATATTAAAAGCAGTATATATGTTATGACAAACAAATATTTGGTAAATATTACAAATAATATTAAAATAAGAAATTTTGCCATACAAAGAGGATGCTATTAGGGGAAATTAGAATAAAAGATTTAGAAAAAAAATGATATTTATTGAAGAGGATGCTAAAAATTAACTTTCTTAATCTTTTTAAATTAGTCAATTAGATGTTATATTAAATATAAGAAATAGTATTATTTAACGTAGACGAACAAACCAATCCAGCGAGAAAAATAATACAATTTGACAACTATTGCAAGCAAAACAATCAGATTGACCTTCATAAAAGTTAAAATTCAAGATTGAGGAAGCTCTTCGATGAATTCCAAGCCAGGAGGTGAAATTAAACCACCAAGCATAACGGAGGGTGAATCTACAGATTGCTTAATTAATTAAGCACCGATCTTAAGATCTGCGGTTTCAGTAGTGTATCTATCTATTTAGCACCGATGATGATTGTAATCCCAATGTTAACATCATCACAAGTACCATTCTTCTCTTGTTTTATAATGCTATAAATAATGATGGATTCATCGGACAAAGGCGACTCCAAATTCTCGGTGCCGGCGTCAGAAACTGCAACGGCTTTGTTTAATTAGGACAGACGGGGCACACCGGTGAGTTTCTGAACGAGAACCCTGAAATCTTCAGGGTTGGTGTCGATGATGAAATGGTTCCTTGTTCGTTGTAGTCGAAGATGACTTTGATACGGCCGCGCCGCCCATGAAGCTTTTCCGATGGAATGAGAGACTCTGTTGATCATCAATGGAGAAGGACGTGGGCCTTTGATGATATGCTTTGATTGGTGTTCTTGGAAGCCTTGAAAGCTTGAAGAAGGTGGGAAGGCTAAAATGGAAAAGGAAAAACAGAAACAGATATAAAGTAGATTCATCTTTTTCCCTTACTAAAAACTTATAACATTTCTTTATGTTTTTTTAGCTCTCCATATATAAGTATATTCTTTTAATTGTTCCAAAAACCACGTGAAATAAAAGAAAAAGAGAAATATGGAATGAAGATAAATTTATTATATTTTTTACTTCTATTATTTTTTTTCTCTATCTTAAATCCTTGTTTATTTTATATAGCAGTTTTATCTAACATTTTTTTAATAAGGATAGTACTTACACCAAATCTCTTATATCCATTATGTTAAGTTATTCAATCATACGTGACCATGTGTATTATTTTTTTAAATATTAGTATTTAATAGCATTTAATTATAGATCCACATAAAAAGGATTAGGACATATGACCATGTGTAATTGGATAACTTGACATAATGAATATAAGAAACATAATATAAGAGTTTTTTTTTTTACTAATCCAACTACTTTTTAATGATCTTGGCCAAAACAGACTACTTTTTAATGATCTAACTTTTTATATATTCCATTACTTGTTTCAATTACTTACTTGTCATACTAATCTGAAAATGAAGAGAGGGACACAACGTGGAAAAGAACATCAGAGACAGCACATGACAAAAGAACAAGGATCAATAATAACTATTTTGATAGCTCGTGATCTCCTGCGACTCCTGTAAATTTTACTGATATGGGAAAGAATATGGTAACATAAAAATACAGGGGAAGGGAAAAGTACCTTGATAATGCATAAGACTCGCGGTTGATGTAGGGGAAGGAAAAAGTACCTTGATAATGCATAAGACTCGCGGTTGATGTAGGGGAAGGAAAAAGTACCTTGATAATGCATAAGACTCGCAGTTGATGTAGGTGCCAGCACCTGCAAAAAAACTATTAATCTGTCTTAAGGATGTTATCTTTAAAAGTTATTCCGCAATTACCGGCAGATGAGGATACGACACTACTCAAGATTAAATGGATTCTTCCTGTAAAACAGAATAAACAGAATAATAAAAGATAATAGTAAACTTAACAAGTAGAAGAACACACGGGAGGGAAAAAGATAGGAACTCAAAAACTCTACAGTAGTTTGTGTCCTGAACCTTAAATTGAATATAGCCCCAGTAATCTAAGATGTTGCTAGCCTCTTAATGGCAATAAAATGTCAGTTTTTGGACGTTGAAACCATTAAATTGTTTGATTGCACAATCTGAAACGTTAGAGGCATATACGCAAGCATTCCGTTTAGAGTTTCATATTCAAATCATTGAATGTATTACAATTAAAATGGTTAAAAGCACCGTTCATGATTGAAATACTTAAAGGCATTAAGCATTAAATTAAATAAGTTATTGAACAATTATTAAATATAAAAACCATTCAGCAATTTGAATGATTCAACCGTTTAGGATTTCAATGGGCCACTTTTAAATCTTTTAAGGCATTGAAAATCCATTTATGATATTAAAACTCTTTAACATTTGATTTTCCTACGCTTATTCTTAATAATAATAAGAAAATCTGTCCATGATTAATGCTCAATTTGTTTTTATCTTCTCACATTCCTAATGTAGGATCTTTTATTTGACACACCCACACAAATATCACAACAGTTGATTCTGCAGATTTTGTTGAGTTAGAATCAAAGCTCATATCTTCCTGGAGTTCTTCCCAATCTTGTTGTTCTTGTATTTTCAGCAGCAAGTTGTGATCAGCGTATCTTCTAGGATCCATGAATCGAATATTTGCTAGGTTACTTCGTAGATTGTGTACATGAACACCAAAATACTTTTCTTTTTCGCCTTTTATTTCCCGTGTTTTGCTCTCAATGGAGACCTTCACTTGATTCCACTTATTTTGAAGGGGGAGTTCAGTACTGTGAATTATGTTTCGCATATCACATAAAAAAATGTGATCAGTCTTTATTGTTGACAGTAAAAGCCATTCAGAAGAAATATCCAGCTTGGTGTCAGTGAAATGCACTGATAATTTAAAGTTGTTGACATAATCCTGATCATCTTTAACAAGAATCCATAAAAAGGCCATTGGGAACACGTTACAAACCCAAATTGACACCATGCTTCCCCGACTATAACAATGGAGCCTCCCTGGAAATTTGTTTCCGGGCAAAAGAACGGTCTAAACCATTACGACTTCATACCTTTTTGTCGTAAAAATTCATGCACAAAACATTATTACCTTCATATTGATTATTACTCTTTAATAACATCTATATCTTATTTTACATAAAGCCACAATAATAATTCTTTCTCGTCACATTCTTATATCATTTTTTTTTATACAACACATTCTCATATCATTTCCTGTCTTAAAGTTTGTACATTATAAAAAGGGAAAATTAATTTACAGGTCCTTCAAATTCCTTCAACTTTTTTTTTTCCAATTTTTGTTATTATATTTATTAGTCCTTGCCGTTAAATACATATCAGCATTGTTAAAAATTTAGCTTAGACAGTTAAGTTTGACCAAACTCTCTTCTTCCTCTTTCTTGTTGCTCAGCATCTTCTCCTTTCCACCATTCTCCCCACTTGAAAATGGCTTCGTCATTCCTTCCTACCTCTCCATAACACCTTCCATTTCCTTAGTCGCATAGTCACTGGGACCCTTTTTAGCTATCCCTGTCGTCAAATGAAACTATGGAGTCGATTGAGGCTTAAGTCCCAGCCCCAATGTCGTTATTTGTGAATCGCAAGACTAGCTTCAACTTGAGCATTAAACTATTTTGAATGAGTTTTAGAGCTCTAGAAGCTATATTTGAGGCCAGTACACATGGAGTGATTCTTCCAATTTGGGGAACGTAGGTTAAACGGGACTTAACAGACCCTTGGTTCTTGAATCCAATGGATTCTTGTGATTTTGAGGAAGAGGTGGTGGTGGCTTAACTCCAAGCTTTGTTGGTCTTAACTCACGTGTGCCTCATATATACCCCAATCCACAAGCAATGCATCTCCTTGATTTTGTTTGCTACGTGTATATTATACATAGTTATTATCCAAAAGTTAAAAATGATAGGTAAGATGAAAGGATGAATGGAGGGGAGGGAAAGAATAGGAGGATAAAAGCATCAACATCAAATATGGAGTATAAGACGTGCATGGTGGCTTTGCAGCACACATATGTGGTAGTAAACAAGAGTGGCGACTTGCTAGTTAGAGCGTATTGGGTTGTTATTGAAGTTTCAAATGACAGTCACCATCAATGACGGCTCTGTTTTTTGAATTAGAAACAGAGCCAAACAGAGTCCTTTAATTAACAAAAGTTTTTTATCTTCCCCACTCAATTAGATCAATAGCAATGGCCAATAAGGGCCACAGGTGAAGGCGGAGGATGATCAAACAAGCCTAACTAAACATGTGATTTTTTTTTTTGTGGATTGCGAATGTCACATGTAAGGTCGTTCTTCTGTCTCTTTTTTATTTCACACCTCACAAATTGAGATGTGGGGTTTGGGAAGTTGAGCCCCGACCAACAACCATGGGAATAGATAAAGAGGTCTTGGTGAATATGATTAAGGGAAGGGAAAGAATGGTAAGGCATTTTCAAGTGGGGAGAATGTTGGGGAAGGAGACGGTGCTAAGCAACAAGGAAAATGAGAGGAGAGTTGGTCAGACCTAAGCGCCTATGCTAAATTTTTAACGGTGTCAATATGTTGTATCTAACGGTAAGGACCAATAAATTTAACAATACAAAGTTGGAGGATCTAATTGAAAAAAAAAAAGAAGTTAAGAGACCAAATTCAAAATTAAAATAAACTAAAAGGACTTGCAAATTGATTTTCCCTTATCCTAATAGCTAACATAACAGTTACAAATTGAATGCTAGTTAAAAAATTCTTAAACAACAAAATTAAAAAGAAAGAGAGAAGATATTATAAAAGAAAGTAATAATATCATAGTGCCACGATGATACTCGGCTTGAAAAGTCAAACCGGGCATCTGAGAGAATTTGGGAAATGCTACTGATGCAATGCCTCAAGAAATTAAAATCGTCCGTTTATACGAGTCAAATCACGATTTTGATTACATTTTGTCGGATCCTTTCAAACTACTTCACTGCCAAAAAAAAAAAAAAAGTTAATTTAGGTGATGGCATTAAATTTGCAGACAATTTGTATTGTTTTTCCAAAATTTCAGTTAAAATGATTGGCTAATTTCTTTATATTTAATTAATGATGGATATTTTGTGACTAACTAATAAGGACGTTTTTATTTGGAACAATTAATACCCTAGATAATTTAAAAGAGATCTTGTAAAAATTCTTGCAAATCCTGAAGAACTAAAAATTGTATTTAATCAATATTAATTTTTAAAATGGATGATAAGACTATTAGTTGAAAGAATTTTTTTTATCATGTACGGTTTTTAACATTTAAATAGTAAAAGGAAAGAAAATGATGAGAAATAATCACAGAAATTTCCATGAAATTAAAGATGAAAGTAAAACGAGAAAAAGGGGTGATATTAAGAAAACAGGGGGCATTAAGGAAGAAGGCAAGAAGTTGAGGGGTGAAGTTTAAGACTAGAAAACATTAAGGACTCATTTTATAGAATTCAGAGGCTTTGTATTAATTAGATAGTAGAATATAGATAATGTGGTGCAATAAGAATACCTAATAATTACTCCATCAAAAAACACAGGTGAAAAATTTTAGGGAGAGACAAAGTGAAAAATTTAGGGGCGGCAAAGGCAATAGAAGAGAAATTTTGCATCAGCAATTCTGTTTTTATACGCAAGGCCAAAGGGATAAGAAAGTAGGAGGCGTCTTCTTTTGATAAAACTTGGGGGTATTTGTAACACCACAAAAGTGCTTTTAAAAATTATTTTTTTCACAAATTGAGACAAATCTCTCCACATATTTATTTCATATATTGTAAATTTACTTTTAAAACTATAGTTTAGTTTTCACATATTAAGTTTTAAATTGCAAAAAATAAAACAGTCCATGGCCTTGTGGCATAATGACAGTAAGCACTAAGCACATCAATCTCTTCCTCCATGCTTCTTCAGCTATAAGTTTGAGCTTTCACAAATGGATGTTTTAGTAATGCTGCAGCAGATGGGCGGTTGACTGGATCTCTCCTGAAACAGCTTTTGAGAAAACCTTTACCCTCATGGGACAGATTTTCTGGTATTGCCGGATGTTGTTTAAGGACACAAATTTTATAGATGACCTGTGCCTGCTTATTGTGTAAGCATGTTTTAGTCAGTAAAATGTTTAATTAATAAACCAAAGATTCATATAACATATATAATATCTCTGCTAAGCTAATCTAGCCAGGATGACTAAATTCTGTTGTAAGAATTGTTTGGACTCAATTGTGCTGATGGTGTGGGTTTGAATGTATTAAAACTATACAGGATTTGTTTGGGAACCATTGTTTAATTTGTCGGTCTGAGAGCCTCAAACGTGCATCTTGATCAGGGTATGAACGTTTATCTTGGTCACATGTTGAAGTTCAGGCTTAATTCCTTGTTTTAATGAAGTACTTGCATCTCTTTTCAAACTTTGTGGAGAAACTTAAACCACTCGAATCAGAGACTTAGAGCTCAACATATATGGATCTCGAAAGTTGAAAGTCAGCGAAATTTGACAGTAAAATATTAAAGTTTTGTACAAATGTCACCTAAATTGTGTGCGTATGTGATTACTAAAGCTTGAATATAAGTGCGTTTAAAGTATTAAAATCATAAAATGCAGTAGTGCATACCGGCAGACTGCAATCAGGCCAAGGATGCTTGCCCGTGAACATTTCAATGACTACAAAGCCCAAACTCCATATATCAGCAGTAGAGGCTTCACCCGAGCTGTTATATGCTCCATGCTCTATAACCTGCATGAGAAACTTAGCAGCTTTATCAGTTTGCATAGTGATGTCCAGGTGGATCAGTGAGAAAACAAATATATACCTCCGGAGCTGTATAACATATGGTTCCCGACAAAGAGTGATCGCCCGCCGATTCAGCTAGCTATTTCAACGCGCAAAATCCCAGTTATTCTTGTCCATTATATATAGCAATTGTCATATCAATTCCAATTGTATTAAAATGACCACAAATAACAAAAAATGTTGTACAATCCACACACATACTCGAACAATGTGAAACCAAATCATCTCATCAAGTTATTTCAGGTAGTGTTAATTTCTAAACTAAAGATGGATTGACTAGTTGCTATTCAATATTAGGTAAAATAATTTGAATCCCCTCGAATTTCATGTAATAAAGTGGAAAGAGAATCGAAGATAGCAACCGATCCTACCTTTAAGGGGTTCAAAAACACACACACACAGGTAGGAGGCATTCTTCTATTGTTTTATATCGCTTTATACTTCACCATGCATGGACATAGTGAAGTGTTTTTTTGGAGGATATCCGAATTCTTGGTGAATACGAGGAGAATGTGTTGAAAGGACTACGGGTATTTTCATAATATTACTTACATAGGAAATATATAGTGTTTCTTTTTCGAAGATTGAGGCAAGATATTGCAACTGAAGGTAAAGAACTAAAGAACAAGGTTAATCTACTAATAAGCCTGCAAGCAATTAAATTAAATGCAATTTAAAAAGATTAATAATAAATATGATAACTATTGAAGTAATTAATCATTATACAAGATGTTGGAGATATTCAAGGACTTACCTGCTTCGCCAAACCAAAGTCAGCAAGCTTTATATTGTTCTCAGAATCCACAAGTATATTATGCGGTTTAATATCCCTATAAACATATGAAGTAAAGGAAAGAGTTTTTTAAAAAAATGATATGATGGCCCCCTCCAATGAAGGAAATGAGACAGTCAAGTATATTATGCGCAAACACAAGGCATATGAGGGATTATAAATGAAAGTATTTGAGCATATGAAACTCGTGAAAATAGAGTCCCACTTTTTCTTTAAAAACAAAATGAGAGTTAGAGCGTCCTCCTATACTTCCTCCGTTTAATATTTTATTTTTAGAAATTAATTTGCGCATATTGTTTCTTGAAAATCGTCAACTTTCTTCAGGTGGAGGATTCATATCCACGTGTGAAAGATAAATTGCAGCATATATAAGACGGACCCGATCTAGAGATTCGGCAACTCCAGCATCGTCAATGTCAAGTATTTCCTTTATTGCACATGATTCTCCAGTTTTTCTGTCAAAAATGAACATCACAACATATTTTGGTTTAATGCTAGACGAGCATTAAGGAGGGTATCAGGCTATTTTCCATATTTGACCAATTATTATTTCGAGATGAAATTAGGAGAATAAGGTCAAAATATCAATTTGCTCCTGAGTAGTATAGAGAGATGCATATGTACCTGTTGAGGCCACGATGAGCAATTCCAAATCTGCCTCCTCCAATAAATTCCTTTATTTCCCATAGGTCAAGTCGGGTGCTATAAGTGATTGGATAAACAGCATCATAATTCTGTCGATTATCAAACGTTTCAAGATGCTCTTCCATTTCGCGGATAACTTCTTCCAGTTCGCTGTACTGCCAGATCAGGGAAATAAACCATTTGATAGTGAGTTGTAACAACAATTTTACTTCTTCCAGTTCCATTTCGCGGATAACAATGATTCGGATTATGCACTATATTGTTTTTATATTCGGTTTATTCTTGATTTAACCCAGAGCCGACTAAGAGGTTCTAAATCATATCGTCTACAACAACTAAACTCCAACGTATGTATCTCTAGCAAAATTAAATAGCAGTGATTGCTTCTTTAAGAGGAACTTCTTGATCAGAAACACCAACTATATATAAAATTGTGCTGGGAACTAGTTTCAGTGCTTATCCATAGTGATGAACATCATGATACTCACAACAGCAATCACAGACAGTTCATCATTATTATGAGATATAAACTCAGTTACATCTTTTTATTTCTTCCTCACAAAAATACCAGATACTTTGGTTGTAAGAGAGGTGCATCCATGCCAAATTTTTTTGATAAACTCATTTGCAAACCAAGAATATGAATATTTTTGGGTCAATAAATTGGATCCTATATCAGTTATATCTCCCAACTTATTTCAAGAAATTGCAGTGTATCGAGTAGGTACAAAATCACGCACCTGAAGTTCAGTAACTTCGTCATTGTCACCAATTATATCCATCTGTAAGCGTAGTTTAAAGACAACATGATAGAGATGAAGATACCGCTTTTCCTCAGCAAGATCTGTGGGCTGCTGAAGCGCATAAAACTTAAGCAAAGGTACAGCAGAACGCAGTGTTTTGCTCAGTCGATCAAGCACGTCCTGGTTCACCTTTTTCCTTTGGAAGAAGCCAACCATCTGAGCTGGTATATCCTCAATCGGCAGTTCTGCAGACATGGTCGTCTCTTGAAGGAATGAGATTTAGTTTGTGAACAAAGGGGAAGCAGTAGGATGAGGAACTAGAATTTTAGTGGCGCAGAATTGGGAGCTGTCAGCATTTTCACTCAAATACTAGTTGGGGGTGGCAAGTAAAACTTGATCGTCAAAAGCCGGCATTTTTACTCTCTACCCAAATGAAAGTTGGTGGCGAGTACTTATTTATTACATACTAAAAATCATTTGTATTAAGAGTTTGGATTCATGAAGAAGACGAGAAACAAAGCAGGCAAAGAATCATAAAATGACAAATGAGCCACTTGTTGCGGTGGTGACAATAAATTATTTTTTAATCTCATCGAACATTTGCCATTTAAAATTTACAGTAACTCGGTTGGAATCTTTCCTCTTCCCTTCCCATCTTCTTTCCTCCTTTTCTTTTTTTTTAACCGTTAGATTAACATATTTTAACAGTTTAGATTTTAATTTTTTATAAAAAATTTTAAAAACATTTAATGTACTTGCAAACCATTAGAATTAAATTTTAATATAATTTGTAATTTATTATTTATTTATTTTTATAATTTAATATTTTAATAATAGGTTTAAAAATATTTAAATTTAAACTGTTAAAATATTAATTTAACATAAAAAAAGAAGAGGATGAAAAGGAAAGAAGAATCCTTTCTAAGTAGGGAAGGAGGATGAGGAGAGTTTTACCAGTTCTGCTTTAATTTGTTGGTTTTGTAATGATGTCACTTTTTAATTAAAAAAAAAAAAAGGAAAGAGGAGGGTTTTCCAACCGTAAGATAACCTGTGGTGTCCAGCGACGCCGGCCTTCTGCAATCACGTGGCCTCTGACGCCAATAACATTCAGGTCCCCTCCTAGCAGAACGGTCAAATATTGGATGACAATGCAGCATAAGCGATAGGGGACCAAGTCAACGCACAGCCGAGAAATGAGAAAGTCGTAGACATTACTCACCCAAACTCTGTCCAATTAAAATATTAATTATAATTTTAATCTACTCGTCACCTAATTCATGTCCATTAATTTATTGTTTAAAAAAAATAAAAATCTTTAAGATCTTGTGATTCCTTTGCTACCCCTCTTCTGCCTTTCTCAATTTCTCGATAATTCTCCGTCTCAAACTCTTCCTTCCTCCCTTCATATCTCCATTCACTTCTCACTCTCAGGTACTGGTGGCAGCAACAACGGCATCTTCTACCAGAGGCGGCGGCTCTTGCATATTGACTAATTTGAGTGTATTGACTAAAATTATCATTATTATAAGTACTATTTTAAAAAAATAAATAAATATATAAGATAAAGTGGACTGTAGTCTTATATTTAGAATTAAAATAAAAGTCAAATGAAATATTATGTTAAGAACCAGAGGTAATATTACTTTTTGATCCTGATTCCTTTGTATTTATGTCTGGTCTTTGCTATCATTTTGATTTTCAAAGGAGAAATGGTCTCCAGCTTTCATGTTTTGAGTGCATATATTGAATTAAAAATCTTCGCTCAAACAGAAGTCGAGAAACAAAAGAGCTGCTAATTTCTATTCAAGATGCTTGAATTTATATAAAAAGAAGGCTGCGAATTATTTTACTTATGAGTTGGAATGTGCAATTTCTTTGCAGGTTATTTTATTTGCATTCTAAAATTGAAAACAATAGGTTTTGCACTCTACTCCAAAAACGAAAGCACCCATAAGAGTCTAGAAATCTAATTACAACAAGAATAAAGTATCAAAAAGCAAATACAAATAAGAAGCCATTTTCAAGCACGATGAACCTTGGAGAACCTAGCGAAATTAACAAGAAAAAAAATGATCTATCAATTTGTTCAGATCGACATTGCAAGTTACGGAGGTGACGATAAAGATGAAGCAGCTTCGTCAATTCAGATCTGCAGAGTAGAAAGAATCTCACCACCGCCAATAGTGTAAAGGAGTGAAAAGATGTTGTGTGAAAAATCTCACCGTCGATGATTCAGATCTGCAGAGTGGATTGTTGCCATTGTCGCTGGTGGAGAGTCTCACAGCGTTGCACATCGCTATAGGAGAAGATGCTTCCACCAATGCTGGTGGAAGATGCCACCGGCATCTAACAATGAGAAGAGAATGAAGAGATGAAGGGAAGGGATAGCGTTTGAAATGGGGAAGGATCGAAAAACTGAGAAGGAAAGAAGAGGGGTAATAAAGGAATAACAAGACTCTAGGCATTTTTATTTTTCAAACAATAAGATAATAGAAATAAGTAAAGTGACAGGTGGATTAAAATTATTTGAGTTGGAACATTTTCATTGGATAGAACTCAAATGAGTTGGCACACTGAGGGTACTTAAGAATTTCTCCGTACAGCCAAAAGAGAAATTCTTATACACACTGAGAGTGCCACGGCCAATGAAAATGCAACACGTGAACTGATTTTAATCCAAGCATTTTTTAATAACAATTGAATATATTACTTTCGGTTCTTAATATAAGAGTTAATCGACAAATTTAAATAGATTAAAGAAATTAGTTAAATTGGTTATTTGTAAGAACAATAAGGTCCGACCAAAGAGAATTAAATACAAAAAAGTTCTTTGAAATCCAAAGAGACCTTATTGCAAGAGATTTTATTTATTTAATTACCAAATTGTTTTTTTAGTATACATTGACAATTGAAAAAGCAGTCGTTAATAACGTAAGGTGTAATGATTAACAACTATCGTAACAGGTATTAATAACATATCTTCTCAGCGCATCACAAAAATATAATGCATGAGTTGTCAATATCTACTGTGATAGTTGTTAATCATTACATCTTAATTTATTGACGACTGCACTTTCAGTTGTCAATATATATTTAAAAAAAAAGATAAAGGCAATTTAGTAATTAAACAAATAGAACAACTTGCAATGAGGTCTCATGAGACTTCAAAATAATTTGATAATTTTAAAGAACTTTTTTGTATTTAATTATCTTAGGTGGGACCTCATTGTAATTTTTTCTATTTGTAATAAATATATGTTGTCTTTCTTAAAAATATCTTTATTAATTAAGCATATTAGCTAGAATTACCGTTATTACAAAGATTATCTTTAAAAAAATAGATAAATATGAGAGATAAAGTAGATTAGGATTTTATATTTAGAACTAAAATAAAAATTAAATAAATTTTTATGTTAAAGATTAGAAATAGTATTACCTTAGAAACAAAACATTACAAGCAAGAAACCAAAGACAAAGCATAACGAACTTCCCTTGTCATCCGCCGCCCATTGGATAAAATCACCTTCATTTTTAAAAGGAAAAACCATATTGGAGGTACCTATACTTTCTCTCAATTTTTAATTTGGTACCTATGTGTTTTTTTCCCTTTAATTAAACATTTAATTTTATCTTTTTAGCAACATTAGCTCTTATGACTTTGTTCTATTGATATTTTTAGTCTCTACATAAGGATTAATGATGTTAATAGAACAAAATTAAAGATTTAGTTAAAAACAAAAAAACATATAGGTACCAAATTAAAAATTGAAAAAAAGTATAAGTACTTCAAATATGATTTTCTTTTTTTAAAACTGGCATCACGCTCCTCTGGACCTACGCCCAGGCAGAGAGGCGTGTTGCGTGAAGAACTCTCACACCCATTCGCCCTCTCTTCCCCAGCTTTTATACGCTCCACACTTCCTCAATTCTTTCCAATTTTTGTATTCCAAAATTCTTAATTCCCAAATAATATTAATCATTTAATAATTTTACTTGTTAGAAAATTTGAATAGTTTACATTTAAATATTTTTATAATTTACTTGATATTATATTGAAAACATTATCTTTTTATTTTAAGCATTTAAATTTTATTAAATTTTTAAGACAAATAGGTCGAGCACTGATCTTCGTGGCAACTTAAAACTAGAGGAAACTCGAAATTTGGACTTCAGGGAAAATTAGCCGAAAAAGCACTGAGAATAAAATCCTCCAAAATCTTCTCTTCCTGATACAAGTTAGCAGCATCTGAAAACCCATCATTACAGCCAGTCTTGGGGCACTTGGCTATGGCTCCTTCCTCAGCTTCCAATCGTTTTTGTTTACACGTGTAGAGATCTGACAACTTGACTGGCGAATGACTACTAAAATCTCATTCAAGATACTGTCGGACACTAAATATGAGCACTTCTCTTAATGAGGATTCAAACCTTAGTTTACTATGTTGTGAAGGACTGGCTCTTTCTGTTAGACTCAACACCTATTGGTTATCAACGTTCAATTTAAAAGAAGACAAGGGGCCTGAAGTGCTATTGGGCTGTAACGAAGGAAAGCAATCTGGGCCAAGCTACTTTATGTGTGAAGATTTAGCCCATTAAAATAGCCTTCATAATTTCCTTCAAAGCCCACCGCCTTAGAGCATTTATTGGAGCCATGACCCACTTTGAGACAACGAATGCACGCTTCATTAGGGTGCTCTAGTAGCATTGATGGCTTGAACCTTGTGGACAACCCCTGAAACAACCATATAGAATAAGTGTAGAAAGTTTATAAAAAATTAATAACACTTTGTGCACCAATTATCTCTATAAAAACTGCAATTTATTTGTGAAAAATATCACCACATACAGTATTTTTTTCAGAATTACTTGCCCAAATAATCCATTCATCCCTTCTGATTAGTTAATTATATACTGGTATCTCTTTTATTTCTTTTATTCATTTTTTTATCTTTCTTTTTTTTTTTCACTTATTTTCTCTCTCCAAGCTTTTCTATAAATGAGAGTATTTTGAAAAACATTTTACATATTTATTATGTTTTTAATCAACGTTAATTAACTTTTTGATTTACATATAATTTGATTATTATAAAATAAAAAAATACTAACTCTGTCCTTAAATATAACGGCTAGTTGCCAGTTCTAAGTATAATAACTCAATTCATTTTGTCTCCCAAATTTATATTGTATTCTCAAAAATATCCTAATAATTGTAAGATATTTTCATTCAAGTGTAATTTCACTGTACACAATGTTTGGAAAACCGAACCGGACCGGCCGGTTCAAGCCGAAAACCGGCCAACCGGCCATCAGTCCGGTCCGATTTAATGGATAAACCGGGAGGAAACTGACTCGGTACGGATCGGAATGAACCGGTATAAACCGGTTACAACCCGCGTAACCCGCCGAGTTCAAGGGTTGTCCGAGTCGTCTTTTGAAAAAATCCAGATGCCAAAAATCACAGAACGATGAGGGAGGCTGAAGAAGAAAGGGGGGTTTGAAGACGAAGAGAATACCAACATAAATTGCACTGAAACTTAAATCTCTTTCAGAGATCTAGATCTCAGGAGTAGCCAAGAAACTTCAGGGCAAGTAAGAAATTGAAAAGAAAATGTGGAGGAAAACCTGGGACTTAGATGATTTCATGAGAAGGTTCTAGGGAGACGCCAGAGATGATGGAGGGAGAAGAAGAACGATTGAAAGGGAGGCGATGGTAGAGATTAATCAGAGACGGTGGCCTTTGGGGTGATGGTGACGCTCACTTGTTGATCTGTCGACGCTGTCTCAGTATCAAGGCATGAGAAAATTAGACACGACTGAAAGCAAAATGGTGAAAAAGAAAAGAACTTACAAGGTACTCTATTAACCAGAAAAACAAAAAGAAGACGGAAGAGTGAAACTAGAATAAAGATGGGTACATTGGTTCACCTTCCCATCAAATAAAATAAAATAAAAACACACACAAATCGAGATTGTATATCAGACAAAGCAAACCATTAATAAAACACCTCCGTGGCCTCTTGTTTTTCTTGGGGTTGGTTCATATCTCTTCAATGAGACATGACGCCTCTGCCCCATAACAGTCCCTCAATGTACATATGATTATATTTTAAATTTAATTAAAAAATCTTTGATTATTTATATTTAAATATTAATATTTTTAATTAATTATATTATTTTATTAATGACCGGTCTGACTCCGGTTTGACTCCGGTTTGACCCACTAACCCTTAAACCACTATTTCGACCGGTTTAATGACCGGTCCGGTTTTCAGTACCTTGACTGTACATGATTGAATAATGATAATTTAAGGAAGTTGGCACACATTTATTACAAATAACTAACTTAACTAATTTTCTTAATCTGTTCAAATTAATTATTTAACTTTTAAATTAAAGAACAGAGGTAGAATCTAATTAGCCGAAATATCATTTATTAGTCTTAAAGTATTGCTATTTTATAAGAATATTTCGTTCGCAGATCTAACAATATAATGCTTCAGTATCTTTGACAAATCTATTTCATCGTTATTTCATTTTTCCGAACACTTTTGCTTCTTTTTTTTTTTTACGTGGGAATCAAACAGTTTTGTCCGTGAGTCAACTTGAAAGACCATTAGATAAAGATGTCAATATAAGTTGTAGTTTGTTGTATTCATTTTATTTAAATAAATATTATTCTAAAAAGAACAGAAGGTGGCGTTAGTTGCCATCAAATTAATGAAAAATGTGGCGTTACTTTTTTTTGTTTTTTTCATAACATACAAATTTTAAGATAGGAAAAAGAAATAAGAATGTGATGAGAAATAATGGTTGTGGCTTTATATAAAATAACTTATAGATACTACTCCCTCCGTTCCTTATTATAAGAGACAAATAACCGAAATACGTTGATCAAAAAAATAGTTAAAATTAGTTAAGAACAATTAATGTGTGAAAAGTATAATTTTTTTTTCAAAAATACCCTCATTAATAAGAAAAGAGAGCATGAGAGAGAATAATTAAATTGTTAAAAGAAAGAGAAGTGAGAGGGAGAGAGAGTGTGAGTTGGAGATAATAAATATGGGTAAAATAGGAAATTAACACAAAAAAGTAGAGACAACTTTTAAGTGTCTCTTATATATAGGAACATGCCATAAGCATCAAATGTCTCTTATAATAAAAAACGGAGGGAGTATTAAGGAAGAAAAATAAAAATATAAATTAAAAGGTTTTTTTTGTGCACTATTTTTTATGACAAAGGTATGGGAAAATAAAATATGATGAATAAGCTGCAATGTTATGTAGTTATATAGATTTGTTAGACGTAGATGGCTACCCAAATCATCACAGAAACTTTTAACAAATGGGCAATTTTTTTTTTAAATTCAAAACACTTTTAATGGGGCAAACCAATTGTATTTAAATGTCCTAATACGTGTGAAAGAGGACTCATCATATCTTCAAATGCTCCTTCCTATACAAATTAATTGATATGGAAACTGTTTAATACTATTAGGAAATTTAAATTGAAGAAATATTATCTTTACGATTCGCGTTCATCCCTTCCCCCCCCCCCCCCCCCGACCATCTGTGTCTATCCATATCATTGACTAGTCTGAATGTTTTGCTTTTTTCCTACCATCCAAAATGCCCTTTAATTTCTCACCCCACATATCACAAAACTTTTTAACCCTCATACAGAACAGCCAAAAGAGTAAATTAATAAATGAAAGTGACAAGAAATAATCAGAGAAATTCTATGAATGATCGAAGAGGAAATTAAAAGGATGCGAAAGATTAAATTCAAAAGAAAATATACATGGCAAAGAAAAAAAAATTAAAAGCAAACAATAAGGATAGGATAAAACAAAAGAAAAAAAAACATGGACCTAATTTAATTTAAAAAATGGTAAAACTATGAGGGCTAGAATATTAGTTTTCCTTTGTTTATATTATTACTATTGAGTCATCTTACCTACACATATTTGGAAACAAGCGAATGGTTCACAAGGGCTGAGAAAATTCCATGTCAGTTGTTTCTGCATTTCTAAAAGTTTACCCAGATGGCTAGTTTATACATGCACAAATGACCACGCTTACTTAAAAATTCTTGCATCTCTGCGTCAGATCACATCGAGAATTTGTAACATTGTGTTGAGAAAGTTTTAACTGACCCGATTTATTCGCATTAATGCAATAACCATACAGGAATCCATCAATTATTGGGTCCAGCTTTGATTTTTCTATGCTTCTTCCAACCACTATTTTTCTCTCACAGTGCATCAACGAACTACCCCTACTTGCCCAGATGTTCCATTCATCCCTTCTGATACTGGGTTGCTGCGAAATTCATCGCTGTTTCTGTGCTCATCAGTAGGAGAACTGGTGTCATCCAAGTACTGCTGGTACGTGTATGATAAAAAGCCCCAAAGAGCAAGTATCAAGGATATCACCTTCAACGCGTTCATCTTGTCATGGAAGAACACTAACGCCAAAATAGGTACAATTGGCAAACCCACAACACTTATCACATTTGAGAACACTGATGACACCTCCAGAATCAAACCCATCGTTCCCACATTAAAAACTTGATATGATATTGCAGTGAAGCTCAGATTCAGCACATAACTTGCCTTCCCCGTTCTGTACTCCTTCATTTCTGCCTGCAAACTTCTAAATTCCCCACTAGCAAACAGACCCACCAGTATTGCCAAAGTTGCCACAAATAATTCGTACACTAACAAGTCCAAAATCACCTTGACACTTTGCTTTTTCAAAACCTTCCTGAAAGCAAGCTGTGTCAGAGAAAGCACCAGTCCATATCCAGCTGAAGCAGCAACTGTGCACATGAACCCGATCGTGTACTTCTTTTTTGAAACTTGTGTGGATGCTGAAGGAGAATCATTGTGAAAGACAAGGAGGATGGAGGAGATTGTTAAAAGGACTAAGGAGTTTATGATGTAAGGTGTGAATTTGAGCGAGTTACGGAAGAAGGAGAAGAAAGCATTGAAGGCTAATTGCGAGGAGGAAATAAGAGCAAGTGTAGAAACAGGAAGGTAAGAGAGAGACCAACGGAGAACAAGTAGCTGTCTAATGCAACAAGAAGGCCAAGGGAGACATACACAAATGCAAGCTTTGAAACAGGGGCTTGTTCACGATTGTGAATGTTATTTGTTGCGGAGGGGAGTTTAAATGCAGTACAATAAAACGGGAGGAGCACAGGGAAACCCGCAACAATGACAAGTGTTTCCAACCATTTGCTGTGTCCGCCTTCTTGGTAGTACAATCTTCCCAAGAGTGTTGCAGTTGATTGGCCCAGTAAAACAGAGACAGTATACAAGCCTATTCTTAACCAACGTTGATGTCTCTTTTGGTTTCTGATTGTGGTGCTGGCAGTGGCTTCATTATTAGGTACATCATCGGCGTCTCCATCGGCACTTGTTTTCTTGTCTGAGTTAGATTCTGTATCCCTTTTTAGATTCTTCTCTTTGGCTTCCTCAGGTTCTGAGAAAACAATCGAAATGATCACTCCGTTAGCTGTATAGACGTTGTATGATAATAGAAAGGAACCTCCTATATCACTTATGGGTGATCATATACTATATTCTAAAATTTAAAGGATTTTGTATTGTATGTTGCTAATCTGCAGGAAGAAAATGAGAAGGTGACTGAAATACCTGTAGAATTTCAGAACCCATGAGACGCAATAAAACATTAATTGTACTGCATGCATATATATATATATAGAGAGAGAGAGAGAGAGAGAGAGAGATGTGTCCGGTGGTTGGTTTTATCAAAGTATGCATTTGTTTCAGGTTCATATAGTCTTAGAAGTCATCGACCTTTACTAGAACCATACTGTTCCTCTGAATCATCCTTGTAATGCATACTTAGGTAGTTTAATAAGTACCTTTATGTCATTGAAGCATCTCTAAGCTATATGTGTGTGTGTGATCATCTATATATGTGCAGCAAGTTTCTGCTGAGCAATTTGTGATATAAGAACAGAAGAGATAGAGATGACAAAAATGACAATGCTGACTTACCTATTATGGAAAGCTGCAATTCTTGAGGTTCTCCCATGGCAAACATAAACAATGTTCTTTTTTTGGGGTGAGACTTGAGAGAGAGGAAGAGAGAGAGAGAGAGACAGCAATGAGTTCGATTGCAAAATGAAAGGCATAATGATACCTAGGAATAGATGAATCATAGAAGAGGGGCTGATATGCGTCACCCCACTAGTTTGAATGTTTGGTTGGTTGCTGTTGAAGATATTTGGTGCATTTAATTTTTGCATGATTGATAAGAGGGTCCGACGTGAGCCTCACTTTTTTGAGTTTTTCGTTCACGGTACTAGTCTAATAGTTTAGGATCCAAGTTAGTATCACAAATTCTTGAGAAGTAGTTGGATAAAACCGATTTGGATGCTCATCTCAAACTTAAACACTCAAAACTTATTCTATTTGAACCTTCATGTCAGATCTGGATGGTCTAGATTTGATTTCTTTTCTATTTTTTTAAAATAATTATTTTAATGGATATATAATCAAAAATAAAGATAATATCTTAGCTATCACTTTTTAAAAATAATTAATTAAAAATATTAAATTTAGACTGTCTAGATTAGGTGCTCCTACTAAAGAGGAGCACCCAAACTGATTTTTTAAAAGTTGGATTTGGTCATAAATAATTAATTAAAAATATTAAACTTTGTCTCTCTCCCTCTGTCTCTTCCTTCAAAATACCCTTATTAATTGTAAGTGGTTTCTACTAAAAGATAATTCCAATCATCCAATATATATGATTGCAGAGGATAGTTTAGAGAGATTAACACATACTTGTGAAAATAACCAACTTAATTAATTTTTTTAATATTTTAAATGAGTTATTTGGCTTTTATATTAATTATTAAAGTAGTATTATCCTTCCTCCATATCCCTGCGTATCCTTCTCACTTATCTACCATAATATGACAGAAAATTTTATTTTTGCTTCACATAGATTGGTCAAATTCGTGTTCTTATCTTCTTTTCCTTATCTTTTAATAATTCTATTTTCATGCTAACTTATTGTAGTATGTAAAACTCTAAACTCTTGTTTTCTTAATATTATTTTGTTTTATTACAAAAAATGAGAGTCTAACGCTACAGATAGTCGATATTATATTTAATGCTTTGATTTTTGGACCTGAATTGATATTAAGTTCTTAAAAGTTGTCTATCTGTTAGTTTTTTAAATACAACTTTTCTATACTCCTTATCCTTAATGTAAGACCTAATTAACTAATTTGAATAAATTAATAATGTTAATCAAATTAGTTAATATGATATATATTTTTTTAAAACACCCTAAGCATTTTTCTTACTTTCCTTCCTCTCTTTTTCTCCTACTTAATTATTATTGGAGAAATATTAATAGGGCTAATTTAGAAAAAAATTAATAAATATATGAAATATGTTTTATATATATGACCAACATTAACTCTCTAACTATGTTTTATGTTGAGAATATGAGGAGTTATTGTATGCTCATTCTTTTGGGCTTTAATTTCACTTCTATATGGTTTTCCAGTGAAGCATATAATTGCCAAGTTGAGTAGGGTTCTAGCTTCATTGCTTATCATTGTGATAGGATATAATTTGGGTCTGCCAAATCTAGTTTTGGACAATCTAGATTTAAAGCTTTTAAATTTTAATTTATTTTTGTGAAAAATTTTAAAAATTATCTCTATTTTAGATTACACATCTATTAAAATAAAAATAGATTAAAAATGCCAAAATAATTTTAAATATAGATAGCCTAATTAGAAGATCAAATTTTGATATTGATGCATGCATGATGAGGATGGAAATCCGAAAACTAATTCCCAACTTAATTCTTGTTTATACCTCTTTAATCGGCCAATTCGATCCAAAACTTAATCTGTATAGTCAATTTCTAAAATTAATAATTAGGATCATCTTCAACCATTGCCTTTGCTGGATAATTAGAAAGGCAAGTCTGTTTGGTTAAAAAAAAAACAGAGAATAAAGGAATGGTAGGTCTCACATGTCAAATACTCTATCTTATTCCACGATTATAGATATTAAATAAGATCTGAACTATGAAGTTGGATGTTTATGTTAAAAATTATGACAATGCGATTGTATGAAGAAATAATAAAGGATATCCATGAACTTTCAAATTGATATTCAGAACCGAATTAAATTCATTATATTCATATAATCACATTCTTTTTATTTAAACATAATATAAGAAATATAATTGTTTATGATAGTAAAATCAGTACGCGTGTGGTTTAATTAAAAAAACTACACAACACGTATAATAGATGTTGCTTAATATAAGAGCTATATAATTAATTTGAGGAGATTAAAAAAATCATGAAGCTGGCTATTTGTCATAAGCTAAATGAGTGTTGATTTTCATAAAATACCTCATATGTATTGAAACTATCCCTTGATGAAATCTCTAAACATGTGCAATCAATAGAAATATTCTGATGAGAAAGTTATAAATTTAGAAAATAAAGTAAATTAAGATCTCATATTTAAAAGAAAAGTAAACATTTTATCTAGTTTTTTTTGGCCAACTATCTAGTTCTTATATTAAAAATAGAAGGTAAGATATATATACTTATCATATGCTCTCTTTTTTTCCCCCCGAGTCCAGGCTAACACCTGAGGAGAGATCAAACCCGAATGTGTGTGTGTGTGTGTTTTTTTTTTTTTTGGGGTAACAAGGATCAAACCCGCATGTTAAGGCCCAAAGGGCACCCTTGGTACCACTCAGCCAAGAAGCTGGCATCGTATAATTATTAATTAGATAATTATTATTAGTCATATTTTAATTATTAGCGCTCAAGAATTAAGGACATCGATCATGGTGGAATGTGACCTTTTATTTTTGGGAAAATCACTAACAGGTCCCACAGAAGGTAATTTATTACTCTGAGGTCCCACGAAATGTCAAAATCACTGACAGGTCCCAAGGGACCTCAGAGTAATATTTTCGTTTTGTAAAATGACATTACTGCCCCTCATATTCCAGATTCACATTTGCTCTGTCATTACGATTTACAACCTCAGCAGCGACTATTAACAACCTAATGAGAGGGCGTTAACAACCCTAGCAGTATCCGTTAACAACTTACTTTATAGAATTATATAACCTCTACATAAGAGTAAATTATAACCAAATAATATAATACAACAACTTTAACACTAAAATGGGAAGCTTTTTGATATCATTAAGAATTTTAACTAAATCCAATAGGATTATAGTAATATTTTAATGCGAATATCCATTTACAATCTCAACAGCGATTATTAACAATCGAATGAGAGGGCATTAACAACCTAAGCAATAGCCGTTAACAACTTACTTTATAGAATTATATAACCTCCGCATAAGAGTAAATTATAACCAAATAGTATAATACAACAACTTTAATACTAAAATGGGAAGCTTTTTGATATCATTAAGAATTTTAACTAAATCCAATAGGATTATAGTAATATTTTAATGTGAAGATCCATTTACAACCTCAATAGCGACTATTAACAACCGAATGAGAAGGCATTAATAACCTAAGTAGTATCCGTTAACAACTTACTCTATAGAATTATATAATCTCCGCGTAAGAGTAAATTATAACCAAATAGTATAATACAACAACTTTAACATTAAAATGGGAAGCTTTTTGATATCATTAAGAATTTTAACCAAACCCAATAGGATTATAGCAACATTTTAATGCGAAAATCCATTTACAACCTCAACAGTAAGTATTAATAACCTAAGGAGAATTGTTAACAACCTTAGCAGTGTCTGTTAACAACTAATTTTA